GATAAACGCAGAGCTTGGATTCAAATCTGAGCGGAGTTTGTATGCTTAAATGTTTTACCAAGCTACCTCTCTCATTTGGAAAGATAGAGACATAACTTGGCAAAAGATCAGTGCCAGGGGCTGCACATTAAATAAGCATGAGAGCGATACCCAGGGGTTCTGGTCTTGAGGCTGGAAGAAGGATGCTGACGGTCCAGAAGTAAGTGAGCTGCATTTAAACGAGGGAGAAGGAGACGGAGACCTCAGCGGTGGAGTCAGAGTTCTGAGAAGCTCAACGAAGCAAGCTTGGCAAGTTGCGACCACAGAGGCTGTGGAGGCTGCGGCCATGGGTACGTGTGCCTGCTCGCTGTCTGCTTGCAGGGCGGGTTCAACAGCAACATCTCCTTTGCAGATTAGGGTCGGGGCGAGTGTTTGGCACAGTGGGTAGACACTGTTTGAAGCACCTGTGTCCCATATTGCATAGTGCCTGGCTTTGCGTCTCGGCTCCTCCACTTCTGGCTCCAGCTTCCCTGGAAAGCAGCAGGTGGACTCAGCTACTTGGGCCACTGCCCCCCGACATGGGAGTCTCAGATTGAGTTCCAGTCTCCGGCTGCAGCCTGGCCCAGCCCTGACTGTTGCAGCCATCTGGAGAGTGAACCAGCAGATGGAAGACCTCTCTCTTTCCCTGTCTGTCTCTCTGCCTTTCAAATAAAGTGAATGTAAATAAGTAAAAGATACTTGAGAAAGTTGAGAACAAGCGTTAGGATTCAATGAGATAAAGTCAGTGGAGTTCATGGCCCAGTGTGACACATAGGGAGGTGGCCTGGTGCATGGGAACTCTCTTTACAGGGATTTCAGTGACAATCTGCAACCCCAAAGTGGTCATATTAGTATTCATCCAACGCCCGCCAGCTGGGTGTGGCTGAGCAGTCTGCAAGCAAAGATGCTCTGAGGTCGGTGCTGCGGCTCACTAGGCTAATCCTCTGCCTGCGGTGCCGGCACCCCGTGTTCTAGTCCCAGTCGGGGCGCTGGATTCTGTCCCGGTTGCCCCTCTTCCAGGCCAGCTCTCTGCTGTGGCCCGGGAGTGCAGTGGAGGATGGCCCAAGTGCTTGAGCCCTGCACCCGCATGGGAGACCAGGAGAAGCACCTGGCTCCTGGCTTCGGATCGGCGCAGCCCGCCAGCCGCAGCAGCCATTGGAGGGTGAACCAACGGAAGGAAGACCTTTCTCTCTGTCTCTCTCTCACTGTCTAACTCTGCCTGTCAAAACAAAAAAACAAACACACAAAAAAAGATGCTCTCAAAGATACTCTGAGGCTCCCTGTGCCAGAACCTTGCGTGGAGCTGGTCTCGAGGGGGCAGGGGGATTTTCCCAGGGATCAGCGTCCATTTCTCCCCTCCTGCTCTCTAACCTTTGCAGAAGGGACTTAACACGTGGCTTCTGGGGCTAGAGCTTAGCTAGGCAAGGCCCTGGTAGCTTTCTCTCCATCCCAGATCTTGTCACCAGACACTTTGTTTGAAAATCTCCCTGTTCCCAAGGCAGCTAGATACTGGTCCTTCCCATCCCATGTCCACCATCTAAAGGTGGAGAGGTGTCTTCAAAAACTTCATTAAAAATTCATATTATGGGGGGCTGGCATGGTGGCACCACAGGCTAAGCCTACCAGTGATGCCAGCATCCCATATCAGAGTGCTGGTTCCAGTCCTGGCTGCTCCACTTCCCATCCGGCTCCCTGCTAATGTGCTTGGGAAAGCAGCAAAAGATGGCCCAAATGCTGGGGCCCCTGCACCTGTGTGGGGAACTGGAGTGGAGCTCCAGGCTCTTGGCTTCGGTCTGGTCCAGCCCTGGCTGTTGCAACGATAGGGGAGTGAACTGGTGGATGGAAAATCTCTCTCTGTCGGCATCTCTCCCTCTCTCTATTCTCTCTGCCTTTTAAATAAATACAAGAAAATTTAAAGAAATTCATATTATAGAAAAATTACGCATGGATTAAAATTATTTTTGTGTCAAAACAAATTTATGTTTTTAAAATAAATCTTTATTTAAATTTTATTTTTTAAAAAGATTTATTTTATTTATTTGAAAGACAGAGTTACACAGAGAGGTAGACATAGAGAGGTCTTCCATCCACTGGTTCACTCCCCAGATGGCTGCAATGACCGGAGTTGCACCAATCTTAAGCCAGGAGCCAGGAGTTTCTTCCAGGTTTCCCACGTGGGTACAAGGGCCTAAGGACTTGGCCCATCTTCTACTGCTATTCCAGGCCATAGCAGAGAGCTGGATCAGAAGAGGTGCAGCCAGGACTAGAACTGGCGCCCATATGGGATGCTGGTGCTTCAAGCCAGGGTGTAAACCCACTGTGCCCCTAAAATTTATTTATTTATTTGAAAGTCATAGCTATACAGAGAGAAGGAGAGGCAGAGAGAGAGAGAGAGAGAGAGAGAGACAGAGAGACAGACAGAGAGGTCTTCCATCCGCTGGTTCACTCCCCAATTGGCCGCAATGGGCGGAGCTGTGCCGATCCGAAGCCAGGAGCTTCTTCGGGGTCTCCCACTTGGGTGCAAGGGCCCGAGGACCTGTGCCATCTTCTATTGTTTTTCCCAGTCCATAGCAGAGAGCTGGATCGGAAGTGAAGCAGCCGGGACTAGAACCAGTGCCCATATGGAGTGCCGGCACTGCAGGCGGTGGCTTTTACCTGCTATGCCACAACGTCGGCCCCACAAATTTATGTTTTAATTCCATTTTCCAGGAACTTTTGGGAGTATCCTCAGCTCTCAGACGCTTCCCTCTCGGGCTGGAGTTCCCTTTCCCTGAGAGTCGGAGGAAGTGAACCTCAGGGTGCTTGGCCATTCTCCCACGGAGCACCAGCTGGCACGGTGAGAAAGGTATTCCCTTTCTGGTTCTCCTTCGGTCTGGGTAAGCCAAGAGAAGCAACCTCTTTTGGGGCTCGAATTGCATCTTTCACACTTCTCTAGCACTTGGCTTAGACATTTTTTACGCAAAGCGGAAGCAGCTGGCTTTCCGCTGGGGACAAGCAACAGGTCAAATCCAGCCCGATGGCTTTGTTTCTATCATGTTTATTTTCCCAGCTACTGTGTGCTTATGGTAAGTAACTCCAGGCTTCATTTTACACCTGTGATGTAAAGTTCACTTTCCAAATATATTTATAGAAGGAGAAGGCAAGTCAGTACAAAGGAGAACATTAGGTAGATAATTGTTGCTGTCATCTGTGGACGTGGAAGACCTCCCAAGAGTTATACTCAAGTAGCTGACCGTTTGAAAAATGCTGGTGCAACGGGAGCGGAGGCCCGGAGACAAGTCCCACCTCTGCCTGTCAGCATCCAGGACACTGCATCCTCACTCCCAGAAGGGAGGTGATAATTTCTGCACCCTGTGGTTGTTTTGAGGATTAAATGAGATCCTGTGATATATGCCGTATTTGCATGCAATGGCTCTTTTGTGTTGAAAGGAACTAATTGATCATAATACGCACTTCGTGATAAAATTCACCATTAGTGTGAGTGTGGTAAGTCACTAGTTTCTCAGGACTTCTGTTTTATAAAATCTGTTCATAACATCTGAGCAGGGCCAGGCATTGTGGTACAGCTGGTACCAGTTCAAGTCCAGGCGGCTCCACTTTCCATCCAGCTCCCTGCTGACGCACCTGGGAAAGCAGCAGAAGACGGCCCAAGTGCTTGGACCCCTTCCACCCAGATGGAGTTCCAGGCTCTTGGCTTCTGCTTGGCCCAACCCCAGCTATTGTGGCCATTTGGGCAGTGAACCGACAGGTAGAAGCTCTCTCTCTCCCTCTTTCTGTCGCTCCCTCTCTCTGTGTAACTCTGCTTTTCAAATAAATAAATGAATCTTAAAAGATAAAATAGGGGCTGGTGCTGTGGCACAGCGGATTAAAGCCCTGGCCTGAAGTGCCGGCATCCCATATGGGCGCCAGATCAAGTCCCAGCTGCTCCACTTCCAATCCAGCTCTCTGCTGTGGCCTGGGAAAGCAGTAGAAGATGGCCCAAGTCCTTGGGCCCTTGTACCTGCGTGGGAGACCTGGAAGAAGCTCCTGGCTCCTGGCTTCGGATTGGCCTAGCCATTTGGGGAGTGAACCAGTGGATGGAAGACCTCTCCCTCTCTTTCTCTGTCTCTACATCTCTCTGTAACTCTGCCTTTCAAATAAATAAAATAAATCTTAAAAAAAAAAAAGATAAAATAAAACCTGAGCGAGTCACACGATGTCTCTTGCTTCAGTTGCCTCTCTGGGAAATGAAGATGGTGGCAAGATCTAGTTCATGGTTGCTCAGGAGTCAGGGAGGTACCATGTGTGGCACAGAGTTAGGTAAAGATGAGCTCTTGAGACCCTGCCCCTGCCTCCCGCAGCGGCTGGAGTCCTCAGGAGGGAAGCTCTTTGGAACTGTGCAGTGCTGGGGATATGCCAGAAACACCCCGGGGCAGGCACTGCGGGCACAGGTGCATATTTCTCACGCTCATACTAACAAATATCCGTGAGTTGTTCCACTCGCTCCTTGCAGGGCCCACAGAGGGGTGCAAAATGCATCTACTCCCTGCCCCTGTGGAACTGCTCCCACTGGGCGATCCTCTACCTGCACCAGTGCTTGCCACGGACTGGACTCTGCACCTCCTCCCTCAGCTGCCTGAGGGGAAGCCCTAACCCCCAGTGTGTGTGTGTGTCGGGGGGGTGGTTGGAGGTGGGGCTTTTGGGGATGGTTCCAGGGTCGGGTGAGGTTAGAAGCCGAGACTGAGGATATGAGCTTGCCTGGGGGACCCGCCCAAGCTCCCACAGCTCCTGCGTGCTAGAACTTCGGTGTGGAACACCCACCCTGGCAGCCTCCCGGGGCTCCAGTGGAGGACCAGAGGGACCCTAACATTCCTGGGGGTCTGGGCGGCTCCCTCCTGGAGGCTAGAGCCCAGATGAGCCAAGTTCGGCTTCCAAGACAGACAAGAGCCAGGTCTGTCGGCGGGGCAGGGGGAAGCACCCAGAAGACACAAAGCACCCCCAGGTCGGTTGGTTACAACAAGGCAGAACCTTTAATAACATAAGTGCTTATTACATTAGCTGCTTCGGGGGCTCTGACATCTTTGATTTCTGGTCATGTTTGTCTAACATGGAAAGGTGAACGCCTCCCTCAGGGCCTCCTGGGCGGTTGGTTTCCTGAGGATTTGTGGGAGTGGACGATGAGGACAGCTATGCACGCACCTGATGGGGATTCAGAAATCCCCCTCGCCCCCAACCCGGCCGCCGACCCATGCCTCGGAGTAGGGTCCTCTCCCAGGGAGGGGGGAATGCGGAGGTCCTCCCGGCACAGAAGGAAGAGGTGGGGGGCGGGGGGGACATGTGGCACAGATACACAGAGAGAGGGGGTCGACACGAAGGGCTGGGTCCGAGGAGTGAGAGAGGCATGGAGGGGCCAGGACCTGGAGGGCCAGGGGCCCAGGCGGGCGAGGGCTGAGTCCATTTGGTTTCATTCTTTGCAAAAAAAAATTAATACCATCACGAGGACCATGCCATGCAACCTCAGCGACATCTCTGCGCACGCACGCACGCACGCGCGTGCGCGCCTCCCGAGGCAGGACGGGGCAGAGGTCAGAGGTCAGAGGTCAGTTCAGACGGGCGTGGTGCGCCTGTTGGGATTGTTGTGCAGCGACTCTTTGAACTCTTTGGGCGTGGAGTTGTGGAACTGTAGAAAAGCATGGTCCCGGTCGGAGTTGAGGAGGGTCCCCATGGTGATCTTGGAGGGGTCCCGGGAGAGGGTGAACATGGATATGTCGGTGGAGGGGATGGTGTGGAAACCTTTGCTAATGGGGGACAGATCTCGCGAGCGGGGCTCCGTGGAGCGGGAACTTGACCGCCGCCGGAATCTGTACCTGTAAGGCGGGAGGCGGGCGAAGGTGGATTTCTTCAGGAGCTCCGAGTGGGACTTGGCGCGGAGCTGCTGATGTTTCTCTATGTAGATGTGCACGGCGACCACGCCCACGATCTCCGCGATGATGAAGGAGAAGGCTCCGAAGTAAAAGGACCAGCCGTAGGAGTAGCTTTTCTTGGAGTCGCGCTGCCCGGGGTCTCCGGCGTTGGCCGATATATACACTATGATGCCGATGATGTTGCTTAACCCTAAGAGGAGGGAATTAAAAAAAAAAAAAAAGACACCTGTTTTATCAATCCCGGAGGTAACTGGCAGGTTACCGAATACGAGGGGCTTCCAAAAGTTTTTGGAAAATGACATTGTCCTTGTATTGAGAGGAAAATGGGGAGAGGAGAAGGGACGCTGGCTGGGAAACCCCACGGCTGAGGTCTCGCTCTGGGGAAGCGAAGATGCTGATGCCGGGACCCAGGTGCCTGGCATTCAGCTAACGCCGGCGCCCTGACAGCGAGTGTGGAGGAGCTCCCAAGCATTTATCTCCCCTTAGAAGCGCTCCGTCCCATCAACACCTAATCTTTGGCATTAATGCACGAGGAAGTGAAAATGAATGAGATTCAGGTCCTCGCGCTTGAATTCATTATCATTAGTGGGAGAGATTGACACGGGAATGCAATTACGGCAACATACAGTAAGGGATCTACCCGAGACACAGTGAGATGGCCCAGGAGCAAAGGCAGAGAGAAAGGCTGAGCTCCTCGCTTTGAAGACGGGCTTGACACTCAGGCTGGATCTGAAATTGGCTGAGAGTGAGCCTGTTGACTTCAGTGTGAGAAAAGCAACTGAGAAGTTTCCTAGGGTTCTAGCTTGGGCTACTGGGAGGCTGGTGGCTTCTTGAGCTAAGACAAGAGACAGCAGAGAGCCCAGGTTTAAGGACAAGGGAAGCGCTGGTACGCAGAGACTCCAAGTGGAGCTGTCTAGTGGAAAATGGAGTTAAAATATTTTGATTTGGGTGCAGAAAAAAATATGCCTACGAGGTCTCTTGGGAATGTTCATGAAAAAGCTATGCATAGATTTCGAAGTCTTTGGCCATCTTGGTTTGAACCACACTTAATTCCTCAAACCCATGCAGATGTTTAAACCCCAGAGTCTTACACCAGTGGTTAACAGATTAAGGTTGGTGGGTCAAGGCTGCAGACTGGATCCAATAGTCACATCTGGGAGGTGGGTCTAGTGGGAAGTCATAGGGGATCATTCTCAAGAGAGGGTTGGTGACAAGCTTGCTCCCCCGTCACCCTCTGCTCCCTGTGTCGCCCTCTGCTCCCTATGTCGCCCTCTGCTTCCTGCTTTGCCATGGGAACCTTCCTCTGTGTGTGTTCTGCCACCCAGCATCCACAGGTAAGAGCGTACACCTGATCTTGGACTGTGACCATCCCAGCTGCAAGCTGAAATACACCTTCTCTCCTAAGTAGCGTCTCTCAGGTGTCTTAGAGAAACGGGAGGCTAACACACGCACCAACATATACTTGTCTTGTCCTCGATTTTCTAGGAGCTTGTTGAAGAACCCTCATCCGTGGGTCTAGAGCTGCATTTCGGAGCACTCGTGAACCCATGAGGAAGGGGCAGTAGCTTACCTAGGCTTTTTAATCTGTGTAGAATCAGTTAATGGTCTGCATGAGCCGCTGTGTGGGCATCAGGAATTGGGAACGCCATGCTGTTCTCCCCACTAGACAAGGCCTAAAGAATCAGTTCCCCACCCACTCAGCCCGGTAGAGAAGAATTGATTCCCTAGAGAGCGGGAAGACCACTCCTGCACCCAAACATGGGAGTCCTGGATGAAGCTCCCAGCCCCAGCTGTTAAGGCCATTTGGAGGGTAAACCAGTGGATGGAAGATCTCTCTCTCTGTGTCTCTGTAACTCTTTCTTTCAAATAAATAAATAAATCATTTTTTAAAAATCAAGTCCTCCTTCCTGTTCCTGAACATTCTATATTCCTTCTGGGTGTCTCCCAGATCTCCCCAGAATCAAACAACTAAAGGTTTAAAAGCATGTCATAGCGTGATATTTCTAATGTGACTGCTGGTCATCCTTTAGGGGAGATTTGGCCCTCCCAGGGCAGGGCCAGGGTCTGCATCTGTCTCCTCTTGACTGTACCCGGCCCAGGCAATCAGCAGGCAGGCAGCAGGTTCTCGCCACAGAGCTGTTTCTTCCTATGGGGGCTGACACATCCCGCTCTGTGTCAGGCTGCAAGAAACCACAGGATGAAAAACGGCTCCTCTTCCTGGAGTGTCAATTTGGCTTGAAGATTAGTAGGGAAGACACATTCTTTTATATTAAAATGAACATGGATATAATAAGAAGGAGAAATCAGAATTCACATGAATTTTTAAGTTAAACGAGAGGCAGACTTCCAAGATGTTTCGGCTCACGGAAGGAGGCTGCTGGTGATGCCGCCCCCCCCTCAACTCCCAGGAGCCATGTTGTCTCCTGCTCTGCCAGCAGGGAAATTTTGCTGGGAAAATTTGAGAAACCTGAAAAGGAGGTTTTGATGGGGGAGGAGGTGGGAAAGGTTCAAAGAGAGGCTCCGCCGCCAGTCTAGGCTGAAGGATACAGGGAGTGAAATGAGGTGCCTATTATCTGCTCTGTGCCAGGCACGGCGCAACTGTCTTTATAGAAAGCGCCATCTCAGTTAACTGCAGCAAACAGGCCGGCTTTTCAAAACGTGGCTCCCCTTTCTCAGTTGGGCGAACTGAGACACATGAGGAACTTCCCACGTTGGCTCAACTAGGAAATGGTCAGTCGAATTCGAACCCAGGACTCTTAGGTGCGGTGGATCTAGGTTTCAGTAGCTACGAGATGTGAGTGAATAATTACTTTGTCTCATCCACTGGCGTCTCAGCACTATGCTCCCCGAGGGCAGGGGCTACACTTGTCTTGTTTATTGCTATGGCTGCAGCTCCTAGCCCAGAGCCTGACTCATAGCAAGAGCACAGTGCATGGTTTGTTCAATGAGGGAATGACGGTGTTGGCATGAGGATTCAATGGTGCAATGTACAGGAAAGCAGCTATTGCCTATTTATCACACCCTTTAGGTTCTTTACTATACCAACTCGTCGAATCCTCTTAAGAGACTCAAGAGGTAGGGCTGTTATCTCCCCCATTTTACAGATGGGAAGACCAAGGCAGTTGGAGTCAAGATTTCATAACAAGCAGCTTGGTTTCATAGCTCTTGAGTTTCATAGCTCTTGGTTTCATGCTCTTGCGCACTGTGTACAGGGCCTGGCCCACAGCAGGTGCTCAACAAGGAGTTGGTGGTGGCGTGCCTGAAAACACAAAGCTGACTATAGCCGAGCCAAAAGGCGCCTTGGAGAGTGATGAGTTTCTCGTTCTACAGGAGGAAAAACTGAGACTGTCAGGATTTGTTAGGGAGGTTAATGGAGGGGTCCCGGATAAGACCCCCGCCTTCTGCCTCACCTCTGAGTTTTCTCTTCTGTCTCACCTCCTTTCTAGTTCCCGTGTGTCTAATCCACCCGCTCCCGTCCCTCACAGCACCCCTCTCCAGAACAAAGCTGCTGGTGACATGCTCTTCTCTAACTAGCCCCTCGGGGGACAAAATAATGATCTCCTTTTGTTCCTAGAAATCTGTCACATCAGCACAACAGTGGGACAGATCCTCTGGGCCAGCCAGAGCCGAGGATGGGGCCACTGGTGACGGAGACGCGCTCACGCTTCAAAGCCGCACGGGTCCCTGATGTTGCCAGCTGTTAACATCTGGCCACACAGAGCACGGGCAGGGGGCACCGCCCTCAGGCTGACCACCTGCCTCCCGAGCTGCATGGTGGCTTCCTCCCTGCTCTGTTGCCTGCTCAGGGACCCGGATGCAGTGTCACTTCCTCGTTTCACAGAAGGGGAAGGAACTTCAGCCACAGTCTCGGAGGGGCCAGGGCTTTGGGCTGCAGCCTTGGGGTCTGTGCTGTGGTTGCTTTAAAAATAACATAGTGTTTTCCTCTATTCAGTCTCCTTCCAACAACCCTACGAAGTTGGTATTGCTATTATCTTCCATGTTATAGTTGGTTGATGAAACCAACTTGTCGGGAGTCGGTAACATTTCCCAAGGCCCCAGAGGCGGAGTCAGGGCTCAAATCCAGAAAGGCAAGCCCTGTTACTGATCCCTAAACCCTCTCCTCCATTGTCCCCCCCCCCTCCCATGAACTAGCCTGTCATTACAGCAGGCCCCTGCCCACCTGCTCAGTTTTGCTGCTGAGGGCAACCTGGTCTGAAAACATTACATGGAAAATTCCAGAAAGAAGCAATCCATACGTTTTAGATGACTTTCGTGAGAGGATATTCTTGTCATTGCTCTGCTTGATTATTCCTGCTTGTTGTTAATTTCTTGCTACCCCTAATTTATACATTAAACTTTATCATAGGTTTGTCCCAAAGAAAATGTTTCAAAATGTCTGTTGCAAATGGAATGGAAAGATAAATTCATTTTGGTGCAAAAATGTTTTGCAATCCATGCATATGAAGAGTCTTCCAAAAGTTCACGAAAGATTGTGTATTATGAGAAAAACTGTTTGGATTTTAGGTCTTTTTTTTTTGTACCCAAGCATCTTATAATTCCATTTTCCCAGAAAATTAAAATGCATTCATTTATTCACTTATTCATTCAAAAGGTAGAGACAGGCAGAGGACTCTCATCCACAGGTTAACACCCTCTACCCTGGCAAATGCCCACAACAGCACCATTCAAGGCTTGAAGCCAGCAGCAGGGAACTCAACCCAGGTCTCCCACGTGGGTGGTGGGGACTCAACTACTTAAGCCATCACCTGCAGCTCCCGGGACGCACATTAGCAGGGAGCTGGAACCCAGGCACTAGGATTGGAGACTCAGACATCCCAAGGGGCCTCTTAACTGCTAGGCCAAACACCCACCCCTCCACGAACTTCCTGAAGAAAACTAGCATCAATAGGGCTCCGTACTGTCTGCACTGCAGGCATCCACAGAGAGCAGGGTCTTGGAAGGGCTCATCCCCAGGTGAGGGGCGACAGCTGTCTGGTGCAAAAGCTGAAAACTGTCACCCGAGTCGAGGCCAAGTCTCCCCCAACCCTGCCTGCTTCATTGCTGCGCCGTGGCATTCCATCCACAGGGCACTGATCTTCCTGGAGAGGGGCGGAGCGGAAAGAGATGTGGAAGAGATGAAAGGAAGCTCAGAGACCCAGAGGAGGGAGAGGAAGACGGAGACCGCAGGAGGGATGGAGATGAAAGGGTGAGAGAGGAGGCAGAGCCCAGGGCCCTTTTTCCTGAAGACCTTGTCTCCTCTTGTCTGCTCGTGTCAACTATGAAGTCCTCCCGGAGAGCTTGGGAGGCTGCTGGTCCTCTCGGGGCGCTGGGCCTCTTTGTGCACGCGAAAAACCCTGCATAATAGCCAAGTGGCAAGCATGCATCTCCAGGGGCCAGAGGAGTCCTTTCAAACAATGAGGGGGCGGGGCCTGACCTAGTAGTTAAACTGCCTGTTGGGACGCCAGCATTGTATATCAGCTGGAGTTCGTGGGTTCGAGTCCCAGTTCCCAGCTTCCAGTTAATGCCCACTCTGGGAGGCAGCAGGGGATGGGTCAGGTGGTTGAATCCCTGCCACCCATGTGGGAGACCTGGACTGAGTTTCTGGGAACTGACTTTGGCCCCTAGCCCAGGCTCATTGTGGGCATTTGGGGTATGGACCGGCAGAGAGGGACTTTCTTTCTTTGTGTCTTTTTATTTTATTATTATTTTGAAGGTTTATTCATCTATTTGAAAGGCAGAGTTATAAGAGAGGGGGAGAGAGAGAGGACAGAGAGAGATCTTCCATTCGCTGGTTCACTCCCCAAATGGCCGTAATGGCTGGAGCTGGGTCAAGCTGAAACCAGGAGCCAGAAACTCCATCTGGGTCTCCCACATGGGTGGCAGGGGCCCAAGCACTTGGGCCATCTTCTGCTACTTTCCCAGGCGCATTAGCAGGGAGCTGGATCAGAAGTGGAACAGCCAGGAATTGAACCATATGGGATGCCAGCATCATGAGTTGGGGCTTAACCTCCTGCACCACAATGCTGGCCTCTCTCTCTCTTTCTTAAATAAATCAATATTAAAAAGCAGAACAATCCAAATGCATCTCTCCGTTATACAAACCACCTGTGCTCACTCTCCTCTCGTGTGTATTCTCTCATTAATCCACTTCTCTCTCCCCGGACCCTGCCGCCCTCTCTCCTCCTTGTCTTACCTTCACCCAACCCTTAGCTAGACCTGAACATTTTTGATTCTGACAATTCTTATCTTCAGCACAACTTGAATTTTGCAACCAGGAGGGAACCCTGGATAGCTCTGCTCTGGCCACGCCGTGGCTTTGGCTTCCATTTGGTGTCTGTGAAATGCTCCAGGCTGGAGTCAGACACTCACCTGCAGAGACAAAAAAGATGCCGGCGCTCAGAATGACGTTGTGTCTGCTGCGGTGGAACTCGCTGGCCGCCACGCAGAGCCCGCCGAAGAACAGCAGCGTGACGCTGAGGATGGGGAAGACGCTGGAGGCCCTCACGGCCCCTGTGGAGAGAAGGAGAGAAGCTTCCGCCTGCACCCAGCCAGCCCTCAGGCCACCCGCCCTGGCGTGGGTGTTGCCCGGGGGCAGGCAGAGCCCAAGTCGGAGAACTGAGCCTCGTCTATGCTGAGCCCATGGTAGTTGTTTGGAGCCCTGTTCTCAGAAGCCCGCCTGGCCTTGACCCTCTGCAGTCACGCTCTTAAGAATCTTGACCACTTGCCTTTGAATTTGTGTGTTGCTCATTGATGCCTGGTGCAGCAATGGGGACCTGGAGCCTAGAGTCCTGTGGGACCGCACTATCACCAAGGCAGGGGGCGGGGGAGCAGTAGGGCTGCAATGATCCGGGGCCCCAGATTGCCTAGAACCCCGTGCTGGCTGACCTGAGGCGCCCACCTGCGAGGAGTCAGATTCAGGATGCACGAATGCACTTCAAAATGTGCAAAAATGGGCTTACAAGATGAGTTTATTGTGATGCAAGACACTTATTTTGAGTCCATGCATAGTTTTTTTTTTTTTTTTTCATAATATACATCTTGTGTGAAGTCTTTGAAGACCTCTCACACTGTACATTTTGAAGGCGAAGTCAGCATTTGCTGATGGACCAGCCGTGGGCTGTGAGGAAGAGGAGACAGAAGTGACAGCCGTGCTGGGTCTTAGACGCTGAGTGAGTGATTGATGGTGCCTTCAGGGGAGGCAGGGGTGGAGCAGGAGCTCCTTCCGGTCCTGGGAGGCTCCCAGCTTAGGCCACAGTACTCAGTGTAGGCTTCCGCCTGCACAGTCACGGGGAGTTTTTCTGGCTGATTGAAATCCAGCCGTTCCTATTTGCCACTGCACGGCTGTGCTCAGCTCCAAGTGCAAAACTCTGCAATGCTGTGTTTGCTTGCTCGTTTGTTTATTCAGGTGTTGGGGAGGGGTCGCTGGCCACCTAGACTTCCTGGGGCCCACGCATAATCCCAGGGGAGCGGGCACTGGGGTTCTGAGTGTGGGTGTAGTATGTTTTCAGGGGATTTATCTCCACGTATGGCCTGGGGGTTTCCATTTGACCCCACAAACATCAGGGGTGAGTTTGTCCCTGGTGGTCTAAAGCATGCATCTGGAACTTCTGAACCCACCTTGAAAGTGATCATTTGCGTTGTGTATCGACAGAAGTGCTCAAATCGTCAGCGCAATGAGTTTAATTGATTACAACAGCACACCTTTTTCTTTTGTTTTCTTTTAAGAAATTTCACAGGATGATTACCCTCTGAAATATGCCCAAAGGAAACAATCTGAACCTTTGAAGTTGCTGATCTGCTTTGCTCATGGAAGTGTGGATCTGAATGTGGCAACACGAGATATGTAAATGTGGCTGCTTCCCACGCACTCTAGTGAGCATTTGGGGAACCCAATGGTGGCTAGATTCCACTGTTTCCTCCACAAGGAGGAGATGAGCAGACTTTATGAACTCGGGCCCCCGTGGTGACATTGGTGGCTTATAAGAAGAGGAAGCGGGTCCCAGGCCAGCAGGTTTGCTCTGTCTCATCACGTGACACCCTCCACCATGTGCTGTTGCAGCCAGAGGGCCCTCACCAGAAGCTGGGCAGGTGCCACGCCATGCTGTTGGATTTCCCAGTGTCTAGAACCCCATAAGCCAAATAAACTTTATTCTTTCTAAATTATCCAGTGTCCGGTTTTCTGTTAAAGCATCAGAAACCAGACTCAGACACGTGGATTTAAGCGGCGGCCTACGCAAAGCACATGCAAGCAGAGGAGACAGAAGAAAAAGATGCAGAATCCCAGTCCCACCAGGGTTCTGGGTCATGACTGGAATTGGCAGCTTACACTCGGCTAGGGGCAGGAGACCCTTGTGAGAACGTGACCTTGGCCCCATGTGGCTGGGTCAAGAATTCCAAAATCCCTTGCAAGAAATCTCTGTGCACATGAGGGTCCTTTCTGCAACCCAGCCTGATCCTGTGGCTATGGGGAAAGTGTAGGTGGGTCATGGGGCGAGGGTGAGGAGAGAGGATGGGTCAGAAGGCCTCACCTTTCTGGGGAGCGGGGAGAGAAAAGTAGTTTACTGGAAAAGCAATTCAGCTTTCCAATGAATATAAAACCAGTTTTGCAGGTTGTGGACTGGAAGTCCCAGTTCTGTGCAGTCTCCAATGGGGCAAACATCACAATGCTTCATCAAAGTAGGAAAGAAAAGCGAAGATAAACCCTGGGCACCCTGGTAAGGCCCTGCCGGTCATGGCTTCCAAGTTATCTGTGTCCTTCTGCAAGGTTTGGTCCAGCTACATCTCTAGGGCTGGCTTCTAATTTCTTTGTCCTACTGGTGGGAGGAGCTTGAACCAATTCTACTGGCTAAATAAGGACCAAAAAGCGATAAATGGTATAAACTGTTCTAAAAATGGCCTTCTACTGGCTTTGTGTCGTAATGGGTAAAGCGGCTTTCTGTGACTCCAGCATCCGATATGGGTGCTGGTTTGTGTCCTGGCTGCTCCACTTATGATCCAGCTCTTTGCTAATGAGCCTGGGAAAGCAGCAGAAGAGGGCCCAAGTGCTTGAGCCCCTGAACCACCTGGGAGACCTGGAAGAAGCTCCTGGCTCCTGGCTTTGGCTTGGCTCAGTCCTGGCTGTTGTGGCCATTTGGAGAGTGAATCAGCAGATGAAAGCTCTCTCTCTCTCTCTGTCTCCACCCCTCTCTCTCTGACTTTCAACATAAACAAATAAATCTTAAAAAAAAAAACAAAAACAAAAACAAAAAACTAAAGGTGGCCTTTCACAGTGACACCCGTGTCATTTCTATTGCTATGTGAGTAAAGGATCCTTAAAGACCCACAACCATCTGCTGAGGAGCAGGCATATGTAAAGCTAGAAATGATTTTAATTTGGGGCCAGTGCTATGGTGTAGCTGGTAAAGCTGCCACCTGCAGCGCCGGCATCCCATATGGGTGCCCATTCATGTCCCAGATGCTCCACTTCCGATCCAGCTCTCTGCTACGGCCTGGGAAAGCAGTAGAAGATGGTTCAAGTGCTTGGGCCCCTGCACCCACGTGGGAGACCCAGAAGAAGCTCCTGGCTCCTGGTTTCAGATTGGTCCAGCTATGGCCATTGCAGCCATTTGGGGAGTGAACCAGCAGATGGAAGACCTCTCTTTCTCTCTCTGCCTCTGCTTCTCTGTAACTCTGCCTTTCAAATAGATAAATAAATCTTCAAAAAAAAAAAAGTGCCTTTGTGTTCTTTAAATTTTAAAAACATTTTAATTTTAATTAAAATTAATTCTTTAAATTTTAAAAACATTTTAATTTTAAAAACATTCTTCATGAACTATGCATTACAAACCTAATCCTAATAAGACAATTATTTATAATTGCAATTTTAAAATCCACCTTAAATTTAACACTCCTGAACAGTAAGTTAGCGAATGCTTTAGAATGCTCCTTTTAAGTGCACACATATTTTTGTTGAAAAAACATTTTTAAAACCCAAATCAAGATCTCTCTGGGGCTGGACTCATGTAAGGCCTGTGTCTGCAGCTGAACTTGGCTACTGTTAATCTGGTGCAACACACAGAAGCCAACCCATGACCACGTGCTGGGCTCGGGGCGAAGGGTAACGTGCTTTAACTTATTTAATTTTTATGACCTTGTCAGATGGATGACACTACAATCTCCATTTCAGAGCAGATAAAAAAAGAAAGGGGGGAGGGAGGGTTAAAGCAACTTTGCCCCAGTGGCTCCAACTCAGCAAGCTGGGAGTCAAACCAGGGTCACAGCCAAGGTCTACCGGATACAAGAGTCCTTAGCTCAAAGTCACTACACTCAGCTGGCTCCCATGTGCAGCTGGGACAGCCCATGTCACATGCAGGCTACATCGACCTTGGAAAAACGCTATGAGACACCAGCCCTGTCCCAGTAGGACTGAGAGGGAAGCGAACTCAAAGGAGAGGTGAACTTGGGTCATTAGCACCTCACCCATTAGCACTTGCCCATTAGCACCTCGAATCAACCCTCTGGGAAAGGTGAAAGCTTTTATTTGGGTTGAAGAACATTCTTTAGGTTTTTTCCTAAGTGGATGAAAAAGAATCTTTCAGTGTTGACTCACCTATCTCTCCCCTTCCCCCTTTTTTTTGTTGACAGGCAGAGTTAGACAGTGAGAGAGAGAGAGAGGCAGAGAGAAAGGTCTTCCTTCCGTTGGTTCACCCCTCAAATGGTCGTTAAGGCCAGCGCGCTGCGCCGATCTGAAGCCAGGAGCCAGGTGCCTCCTCCTGGTCTCCCATGCGGGTGCAGGGCCCAAGCACTTGGGCCATCCTCCACTGCCTTCCTGGGCCACAGCAGAGAGCTGGACTGGAAGAGGAGCAACCGGGACAGAACCAGCACCCCAACTGGGACTAGAATCCCAGGTACCAGTGCCGCAGGTGGAGGATTAGCCTAGTGAGCCAGGGTGCCGGCCTCCCCTTTCTATTTCATTGAAACCGAAGTGACTGGGCTATCAGAACCCTCTGGAAGTCTCTGTCTCAGCTCCACTTAGGGCTGGAGACAGAGGAGCCTCAGGCTCAGAGGCAACTAGGTGGTGGCCGGGGAGCCCTCCCTTCATCCCAGGGGACACTGGGGAAGCAGAGAACTTACGCAGGAGGTACTCAGCCGTATCCTGTTCGTAGTCAGCATCTTCAGGAAAGTGATCGATTTTCTTGCACACGCCTCGGAAAGCCCCTGCGGAAACAAACAGGATCCTGAACCAGGGCTGGAGACGGAGCCCTTGGGAGAAAGCTGGGTCCTCACCCACCCTGGTTGCTAGGGACCGCACGTAGGCTGGCCCAACAGCATCTTTCTTTAGGCACACACACACAAAAAGACAAAAGACTGGAGTCTTTGCATGATGTTGCATGAGGACTGTCTTGTCTCCCTAACTAATGCAGGGGAAAGGAGGTGAGTCTAAGCATATAAATCGATCCCCCCACTTTACAGATAAAGAAACTGAGTTCTGTTTGCACTCAAGCAGGTGAGTAGTAGAGCCAGAATTCCAATCAGGATCCAAAGCCAGGCATGCCAGAATCGTCCGCTCTCCCCAACTGCACTCTGACCTCAGGATCTGTCCTTCTCTCCCCTCACCTAGGATCCCAGGTCCACCTGCCCTGGCTGGGTGGCTCATCCCTTTGGGAGCCATGAAGTTGCCCAATGCTGTATCCTAGAGATACTAGGAGCAATTTGCTGCTTTTCCATTTTTCAGGATGAAGGGCGCTTAACTGTTGGCGGATGTTTGATCATCGTGGTAGGTGTTTGTTAACCAGCCAATTAACCAGTCTCTGGGGCAGCTCATGGCTCTGTCAGTTATTATAAATGACAAACGGCTTTCACGGCTTCTCACCACCACACAGCATGCAGTTGGCATCCCTGGCCCCATGCCCATGTGCAAAGACAGCACGTAGGTGAGGGATGGCGTGGTGTGGCAGAGAATGGACGCGGTTCAGAAATCACACAGGCTGGGCTTGCATTTCAGAACGGTGATTGTAAGAATGAGCTAAGGACAGACAGGAGTGTGAGATAATTTTTGTTAAGCTATGGGTACATCATCATAACGGCTGCCACTCAACTACACGATGGTCCAGGCACAGAGCAGATACCTGTATTCCTTATCCCGTTCACTCTTGCTTGCCACTTACTCCTTTTTTTTTTTTTTTTTTTTTTTTTTTTTTTACAGGCAGAGTGGACAGTGAGAGAGAGAGACAGAGAGAAAGGTCTTCCTTTTGCCATTGGTTCACCCTCCAATGGCCGCTGCGGCCGGCGTGCTGCGGCCAGCGAACCGCGCTGATCCGAAGGCAGGAGCCAGGTGCTTCTCCTGGTCTCCCATGGGGTGCAGGGCCCAAGCACTTGGGCCATCCTCCACTGCACTCCCGGGCCATAGCAGAGAGCTGGCCTGGAAGAGGGGCAACCGGGACAGAATCCGGTGCCCCGACCGGGACTAGAACCCGGTGTGCCAGTGCCGCTAGGTGGAGGATTAGCCTATTGAGCCGCGGTGCGGGCTGCCACTTACTCTTAATAGAGGCTATTGATATTGACATTTGATGATCAGACAAAGGAGGACCACAGAGGAGAGGAAGGTGCCACAGCCGGGGAGTGGTGGGATTGATATTTGAGTCCAGGTTTCCAAAGACTGTGGTTTCACCGTAGCGCTATGAGTACCAGCTGTTATTCCTGTAGTCACCATTGTTATGGCTATTAGGATCTTATAATAACAAGAGTACCGTGACTTTAATCTCTACTAGGTCCCAATCAAGAGATATTTCAGAACAAGTGTGGAATATCGCCTTGGTTCTGATTGTTGGCTCGCCAGGCCATGAAGGGGTCCAGGAGTGACGGCTCCAGTTCTGGGAAGAAAGATCCATCATCCCATCCCTGAGGTTGGAAAAAGGCCTTCATTTTTCTTGGTCAAATTTCAGAGTTTCATTCACACGGTCCTGTTGCTGCTCTCAGGATAATAAATCACAACAGGGCAGGCGTTTGGTGCAGCGATTAAGACACTGCCCAAGATGCCCACGTCTCATATCAGAATGCCTGGCTTCCAGCCCTGGCTCAGCTCCTGATGCCAACTTCCGGCTAATGCACACCCTGGGGGGTGAAGGCCACCTGCGTGGGAGACCCGGATTGAGTTTGGGCTCCTGGCTTTGGCCGGACCCAGCCAAGGCTATTGTGGACAGCTGGGGAGTGAAGCAGCAGATCTCTCTCTGTCTCTATTTCTCTGCCTTCCACATAATAATAATAATAATAATAATAATAATAATAATAAACCAGAAACAACCATAAGGAACTAATCTGTTGAACACTTACTATATCCCAGTGCCATTCGGAGTATTATAGGTGTTTTATCCTCTTCAGCTCTCCAAACAGCCTTAGGAGGCCTATTTTACAGACAAGGAAACTGAGGCTTAGCTAAGTAAGTGATGTTAGTTAAAGACCTAGCTGGTAACAGAGGCTTAGAGCGGTGGGTCTGGCTGACACCAAAGCCAAAGTTCCTAACTACTATCATGAATTGCATCCTCTTTACCAAGTTTTAGAGTTGCAAGCAGAATTCTCTCCTAGATAGCTTTATGATAATTTTGTGGCCTATGCCCTGCTGTTGATGGTGGCAATGAGACAGACCAGTTATTTTCCTATCAACTTTGTGTTTTCTATGCTGTATTGTGGGGGTCAGCAGGTAGGGCACGGGTAGCAGCAGTGGTACAGGCTCCCTGCTAGCTGTTTTCCATATTCCACGAAAGGATTCCTGGGAAGAAGAGGCTGTGGTGAAGACAGGGTGTGAAGCTCCTAAAATGGCCTGGTCAGAATTAGGAAGTGCCCGCCCACCTGCATCTTCTCATGAAATTGGCTTAAGACGGCTTCCAGCTACAACTTAGAATGAGCACACATCGTAGCTCTTGGAGAAATTCACTTTTGGAGGTGGGGATGGAGGAGGCAGAAAGAGAGAGAGAGAAAGAAACTCCTATCAACTGGGTTCACCCCTAAATGCCCAAAATAGCTGGTGCCGAGCCAGCTGATGCTGGGAGCCAGGAACTTAGTCCAGCTCTCCCACCCGAGTGGTGGGAACCCAATTAGCTGGGCCATTGCTGCTGCCTTCCAGGGTCTGCATTAGCAGGGAGCTGGAACCAGGAGCCAGAGCCTGGAATGGAATCCAGGACCTCCTATGTGGGGTGTTGGTATCTTAATTACTCAGCTAAACACCTGCTCTTAGTCATCAGTTTCTAACAGTCAAAAGCAGCCCAACAGCTGAGAATATTCTTGTATATTTAGATGGAAAAAAAAAATACACACTACTTCATGACATGTAAAAAACATACAGAATTCAAATTTTGGTATCTGTAAATAAAATTGTATTGACACACAACCACGCCCGCCTAGTTTCAGTGGTGGCTTTCCTAACACTAAGACAGGGTTGTGCATCTGTGGCTGAGATAGCAAAGCTGAAGATATTTAGTCTCTGGCCCTTTAAGAAAAATGTCACTGAGCCCTGGTCTGATGAGTTCTGTCCTGTGAAGGGAAAAGAGCGAAAGGTTGAGCAGTATCTGGGCCTTCCTGGGATAAAGGACATAACCTAGGTCGCAGCTTCGGAAGTAGATATGAGGGGTGTTCACAAAGCCCTTGGGCAACACGTGTTGTGAAATTAGCTATGCATGGTGTGGATTTCAACTTGTTTTGCACCAAAACAAACTTCTCTTTTGACTCCAAATGCACGAAGCTTTTGAAGTCCCATCATCAGGGTGGGCTTCTTGAGTGGACTTGTTTTGTTCCATGGTTTTGTTTGCTGGCTTGAATGTTTTTAATCGGCAATATTTTATTTATTTATTTATTTTTTTGACAGGCAGAGTGGACAGTGAGAGAGAGAGACAGAGAGAAAGGTCTTCCTTTACCGTTGGTTCACCCTCCAATGGCTGCTGCGGCCGGCGCACTGCGCCAATCCGAAGCCAGGAGCCAGGTGCTTCTCCTGGTCTCCCATGCAGGTGCAGGGCCCAAGCACTTGGGCCATCCTCCACTGCACTCCTGGACCACAGCAGAGAGCTGGCCTGGAAGAGGGGCAACCGGGACAGAATCCGGTGCCCCGACCGGGACTAGAACCCGGTGTGCCAGCGCCGCAGGCGGAGGATTAGTCTAGTGAGCCGCGGCGCCAGCCGTCAATATTTTATTTTATTAATAATATAATTCCATAACATATTATAAAATATCATAAAATAATATTATTAACTATAAGATACAATATTATATATTATAATAATAAATTGGTTATTGCTGGTTAAAAAAGTTAAATATGCTGTTGAAGTTTAGCATTCACAGTCATTGCATTTAAATTTAATTTGCAATGGCTCTTAAAAAATGGGGGGCTCTGGCCTCCCACGTTTGTTTGCGCCAAGAAGCCCTCTCTTCTTCCACTTGGGCACGTGTTCCCCAGTTGGCCACCGTCCCCACCTGGTCCTGTGGTACCTGCCTGACCCTGTAGATATTAGGGTTTGCAAATAGGGTTTACTAAGAGCCTGGTCTTTTGCATCACACTTGGGTCTGAGTCTGGACTCCATCACTCCCTGGAGGTGTTATCCGCTGTGCATCACCTCTCCCAGTCGCAGTGTCTTCTACAGAATGCAGATAAGCACAGTAGCTCCAAGGACTTGTCAAGAGAATGAATCGAGGCAGTGAGAGTATTCCAATGCCAGTCGCCACACTCAGCCCTCTGCACAGAAATCTTTTAATCAGGCTGTGACGTAACGCGCTTAGCGCTGTTCTCAGCGTTTAGTTAAGAACTCAATAAATGACAGTCATTGCTACCACTGGTATGGGTAGCTATTTTAGGATCAGAAGAGACACATTGGCTACATGGTGAGGTTTTAAAAAGCAATAGGAAAGGAAAAAGAATCAAGAATTCCCCTGAGGAAGACACCACACTGAAAATGAAACTCTGGCACCCCAAGTCATACACCCATCCCAAAGTGAACTTGGCCATTCATATAAGTAACATATTGCTAGCTCCCAGAAATAACCACTGCGTAGCATTTCTGTATATTCCCTTCCAGGCTTTTTTTTTTTTTTCCCCACCCCGTGCTTTCACACAAAAATGATTTTGCAAAATTGGGATCACGCTGTTCTTACTTACATTTTCTTAAGAGTATTTTCCCATATCAGTAAATCTAAGAAAAATCAGATGGGGTTGGATTTGCCTGTGAGCAGCA